CCTATACTCTTAGTCCTTACTAGGGCGTATACATAGATTTCTCTCCAAAACCAAACGTTTTAGTAAACTCTGTGGTCTTAATGGATTTTCCAGATACCTACTGTATTAGTTGAACTTGATGGAAGATAAAAATTTCTCCAAATTATTGTTTGCTGTCTTTCCCTTCTGTTACGCCAATGGCTGCTGTGCATCATGAAGCCAAGTGGCAGCAAATGCTGCTGCCGTCACTGGCTGGGGACGTCCGGAAGGGGTGGCCTAACGCTTCTGGTGGTAAGCAGGTTGCATCTCTAAACCAGAACTGGGCAGTAACCGTGGGGTTCATTTCTGAACAGACTTGATGCCTCCTTGGTTGAGAGGAGAGTTTCTTACTCATCTCTTCAAGTTCAGAGACCCATCTAACAAAACATAGTGGTAATGCTGGCTCTCCATCCATGTGGGTTGTTGTCCATTAGGCGCAAGAAGTCTCTTAATGCCCTTCTTTAAATGTGGATAAAATAAATTTATGCCACAGTGTGGTTCATTCACAAGTGGACTGTATGGATTTGAAAATCCATTTGTTGTACCTGGGGAAATAATTGTTGCTTCGTGCTTCTCCCTGTCTCTCTGAGGACAACCAAGTATTAGGAACACTTTAAAACCTCATTGGAAGAGGTCCAGGGGTTTTCTGAGAACACTGTTTATGGTTTGTTTAAGGTTATCAATTATGTCTCAAATAAAAAGCTCTCTACAGATGATCATTGTGCTGTACTTTGAACTCATTTACAGAATATTTATCTTGGTTATGGCACTTTTTGTCACACAGCGATATTACTTTTCCATTATATACTGCATATGACCACCACATAAGTTTGATAATAAATGTTGGGAAATAAAAAACAGAGTAAGTGCCTCAGTATGATAGCAATTCCCATGTGATGGGAAATAATGTCATAAACTTCAAATTACCTTTTAAATAAATGTTTACGTCCAACCCATCCATTAGATCGTAGCCCGAAGGGTCAGGAGGATCATTTCTTCATATTTCACTGTATGCATTATGATTGCTTTTTTAGGTGTAAATGATGTTTTTAAATGAAGAATGGCACTCGAACTGTACACAAACAACGGCTAGACATTACTGAGTCGCAGTATGGCAGAAATAGCCTCAGCCACTCGACTAAATATAGAAGTGCAGCAGTAAATTGAATTCATTCTTAGAGAATATTTTTAATGGTGTACGTGCTGAAATGATACAGAAATACAGCTCGTGTCATTCTCACAGTTTGCAGCTTTGACATTTTAGTCAAGTTTAAATTCTAATTGTGGTTCGGTAGATGGCTGATTTGCTAAATGCTTATGAGAGTAAAGATTTTGGAGAGCGGAGAAGAGCATACCTGAGTGTGCAGAGTAGAGTACAGGTAACAGATATCATATTAATGAGGGTCTTAACCATCTAGGGCTTTGTGTGCTTGTGAAGTGACGCCACCTCTGTAAGTGCCCAGGAATGGTGTTTACCTGAGAGCACCCAGTGTGAAACACCCCACACGTTGAGACCCCGCTATGCCCAATGCCTTTCATAGGACGGGGACATTGCTGACCATCTCAAGGATGAAGCAAGTCCAAATCCCACATTTAGACATTTCCCTGCTCTGAGCTGGACCTCCCTAGTCCATATGTCCTGGAGGAACCCATTTGGCTCCCAAAACGCCCCATGCATCAAAGCTTTTATACGTGGTGGTGTTAACTCTGTTATCCCTGCAGTGCTAGGCTAAAAACCCAGCCAGGAGTTGAAATGGTTTGGCTAACAGAGAGGTGGCTTTGAAAGAAGGAGAAGCTGTAGGTGTTCTGAGACGGCTGATGTGCACGTGGGGATGGGGCAGGTTCCTCAGCCTGGGCTGGGCTGGCTGGGAGTGGGGGAAGGAAGAGCTGTCAAGGGCCATTAGACCAATCTGGAAATAAATTCAAACAAAAAACTTCTGTTTACAGGCAGGGGAAAACCCATTGTCTTGGAGATTTAAAACACCAATCAAGAAATTCAGTGGTGTTTTCGCTACAACTATGATTTGACCTTCCTGTTTACATTAAACATTTTTTATAGCGGTGTGCAGTGACGTGGTTGCTTTGTTTAAGGTATTTGACAGTTACAGCAGTTCTGGGAATAATTGTTTTGGTTCTATATATGTCAGGAAAGAAATATGTTAATATTTGAGATCAGGTTACTTTTTTTTTTTAAACTCATTTATATTTGTTTTTGTGTTTCTCAACTTTACCTTCTTTCATGAGAACCTTGAACATGTTAAACTTAGTTTTAAAAGAACATTTTTTTGTAACATATTAAATACTTTATGTCCAAAACATTCTTTTTAGTTGGAGGTTAATCTACTCCAGAACCAGTTGGCTGTAATATAGCTTGTTTGTCATTATCATGTGCGTAAAAATGGTATATTAATTTGTTAGAGTTCACTTGATCCCAGTTCTTTTTTGTTAGCAGAGGTCTATAATCCTTTCCACAGCAACCACTTGTAAAAGCAGAAGATTATGACTTGAGGCAGGATATGAGCAGCAGGAACAGATCAACTTAAAAACAAAGATCCTGTTTGAGTACAAATGCTATTGTTAGCACAGAGTTGGGGTGAGTCAAGTGGCAGGATGTCTATTAGAATATAATAAATTCGTATCTACGCCACATGGCATGCTAGCCAGAAGACACATCCTTTTAGCAGTTATGTGATAGACTACATATTTTTATACCTTTACTTATTATACTTTTGCCTAGTCCAGTAAACCATTCCCTCTGAGAATGGCTGATATCTAAACATCTGAACAGCTTTTTGGTTTTCTGTAGATTTATTTTTCTGTCTAAAAAGTTTCCACACTGTTACACTTTTCCCAAAATCTGCTAAAAGCAGGGATTTGAAATTACACTACGTCAAGGTCATTCTGAGGTTAGTAATAGCCATTTTGGACTATTACTATCTTTTCTTATGACGTGTGTGATCCTTCAGAGAAATGAAGGAGATTTTTTTTTCTTTGTCCCTGTATTTAAAAAAAGGAAATACAATAACATTATTCCCTTTATTAAAAAGTCTTGTTTTTAATACTGATAGTTTAACTGACCTATCTAACACTAATATATGTGACTCAATTTCAAAATCTTTTTGAAGTTTAATTTTTTTTCCTAATATTTTTCCTGTTAAGGTCAGTAGGAAGTAACGAAGGTACCAAATGACAGAAAACATTCTAGTCAAGTGTGGAAAAAACCTTACTTTTTGTAAAAATCAAAAAAATTCTTACATGGCATGGATGAAATTAATAAATATACAAAATGCATGGATGGAGTCAGGTAGAAGTTTCACTTGGGACAGTCTGTACAGTTATTCTAACAACTGACACCACATACAAGGAGTAATCTGTGCTTCCCAAACTTCTGTTGACTGTATTTTTGTAATAGACAACAAAAGATATCCTGTTTATATATGATACGAATTTTGTCTCGGTGTATCTTAATTTGTACGTGCATATATATATATAAAATGTATTACATGCCATAAAATAGTAAAATTCCACATAAGCATCTCTAATGGCAAGTCAAACAGAAGCTTTGGTAGAAGAAAATGTTTGGAGGGGTCTCTAATCGTTGCCATGTGGTGGCAAGAGGAGACTCAATATAATGGTTTTTGTGGGTTTGTTTGAATGCTTGCTACTGCATGGATTAGGATCCCTCTTCAGTGTCCTAAAGTTTGCAAGGTTAAAAAGAAAAAAACAATATAGTCTTAAAGTTATCTTTCTAACTCCTGTCTGAAAAGGAGATTTTATTGCCCTTGATATATGGAGGTTTTCAGATCATCCTACTGATGGCACTTGGGCTGCAACTATATTATCAATGAATAAGAAAACAGAAGCCATGGCATTTCAACAGTATGAATTCTTCAGACTGTATTATTTTGTTAGCCTGAGGCAAGAGACTGTGCTCTTAGTACTCGTCTGTGCAGAATGAGTAATCTGAGACAAATGTGTAACCACACCGCGTGTGCAATATGTCCAGATACTATGGACTAGCTGGTCTTGCTGTGCGCCACAGGCAGCCAAGTATCTCTCATGGACAATAGACATATGTTAAAAAATGATAATTTTATTATACTGTCTGGGATTTCACCCCACACAGCTGATTCTAAAAGCATTATAACAATGACGGTGTTAACTGTGGGTCTGTTTATCCCATTAGAGTCAGAATTTTGTACTGTAAGGAGTTGGTTTTACCAGCAGGATTTTCTGTTACCTAACCAGAATTCTGTATTTTTGCGTGAATTCTATGCAGGGCAGCAACTGAAAATACGTATTCCCAGTGCGATCTATTTCGGTGTTTTAACAGGGCTTGCATTAGCGTGTGTGATAGCTTGAATTTTCTTTCTTCGCCAAAGCTGCTTAAACAATACAATGACAGATTTCTGCTTTTATTCTTCGTTAACGTCATTCTTCATCCTCTCTGCCCCACATCAGGGAGGAAGTGTTGTGAGTTTGCTATTTTAATGAAGAGAAATGAGGCATCTATCAACCAGGATTTATACTGGAGAGCACATCAATTCAGTTGCCTTGAGCTTGCTGAGTTTGCGTATCCAGGGCCAAGCAGCGCTCTCAATTACTCCCGTGCAACCCCATTAACTTCAGGAGGCTGTGCAATTCAAAAGTGGCTTCGCAGAACGCGGGGCGATATTAGGGGGGAAAAAGGCTATCTGTTAGAGAAGACAAGCTCCAAAATATTGTTTTTGGTTATCTAAAAGGAGATGTGCGTGCAGTCATAATAACACTTTTGAAAGGTTAGGGTAGTCATTGTATAGTAATTTCATTGAGTGTTTCTTTGTAGATGTGCCTAACAGAACAGACAGCCTCCAAAAAATCACTGCAGTGAGGGGGAAAACACTTCCAGCCCTGGAAACATATTGTAAATCATATGTCTTTAGTAGACTGTATCCTGTAATTACTGTTAACCGTAGGTTGTTTCTTCCTCTTTCTCTCTCTAGGAGCTATGCCGTCAGCGCATGGCAGTGAAAACATCTGATCGCCCGGAGCCCCTGCATGCTTCTCGAATAAATAGCGTTTCCTCACAATTTAGCGATGGGCCCATTCCCAGCCCCTCGGCCCGGAGCAGCACGTCGTCCTGGTGCGAGGAGCCAGTCCAGTCCAACATGGACATCTCCACCGGTCACATGATCTTGGTAAGGCATTTTTGTCTTCACGGCACAAGAAATTTTGTCAGAATTTAAGGTACCTGCTCAGCTTTTGGAAAGAGATAACTTTTAAAGAAAGGGAAGCTGTCTTTTCACAGGTAAAAAATACTCCTGAGCTTCGTTGGTAACCTTAGCTTTGTATAATTAAAACTAAAGGGATTTTTATTTCCATTTCTTTTTCCATTATATTGGTTTTTTCCTCTCTGGAGAACGTTCTTTTATCTTGGACATACGAATTGTTTGCATGCTTGCTTTAAAAAAGATAAGCCCTGTGTTGTTCTTTTGTCCTATTAATTTATGTTTACCTCAGCTTGAACAACTGAAGAAAACTGCTAAATTTCTGATCAGCTTGCTGTTTTTTCTCATGTACCTTCGGTGTGCGGAGGTATCTGAGCTGAGAAGGCAACAGAATATTCGTGATATGGAGCAATTTGTTTTCCATTATCCTTAGAAAAGGGATCTGAATTTTGAGCCTTGCCTGAATTTTGTTGTCCTTGGCTGAATTTCTTCCAAGCTGGATCTCTTCTATGTTTGAAATGATCCAAATATATTCTGTTGATGGGAGTCTGCATTGGAAAACTTGGGTTACTTCCAAACACGACTTGGCGACCAGTATCGGTGTAGAAGATGGACACGTGAATATCTGTGTGTATGTAAGAGTCAGAGTCCAGTGGTTGGGACTGGCTGCAGCTTGTTTCTGTCTCTCTCTGTTAGCGTCCTGCTGGGAGAGCTGTAGAGTAATCCCCCATTTTTTGTGCCTTATTTTCCTCCTTCTTTAAATATTTACTGTCTTTGTAGCGTGCATCGAAATTAGCTGAGAAGAAGTTAGGTGAGGGTGAAGATGATGAGTCAGGTGTTATTTTGCTTTCTATATTTGATTTCTGCTATGTATTCGTATGGTTGATCTAAAGTAAGCACCCTTTCCAGTTGGTAGTGTTGTCGTGCTTTTGGAAACTTCCCTGTTGGTTTATTTACGCACCACTGAGAAGACTCACCAGTGAGGTCTCTCAGAAGAAAACTTCTCTCCACCATGCCATACTTTTGGGTCATAATTTTTCAACTTCTTTCTCTCTTTTTCTGGGCTGATATTGGAAAGTACTATCTTCTCAGATATTTTTCAACTTCTTATAAGTCACCCCACGTAATGGAGAAAGGAATGAAGGCAGGCAAAACCCAAAGAGCTCATTTGACCTCAGCCAAGTTACTGACCTCCTTCAGCCTTCATCAGGTCAGCTATAAAACTGAGCAAAAGCAGGGCAGGATTGTAAACCAGATGCTTCATTGGAGTTTGTCATCCTAAGTAAATGCTTCTTCCCCTGCCCCTGCCAATTCCCCCCCAAAAAGGAGTTAATTAAGTATTATGTTAAAATCTTGTATACAAGTGCAGTTTGGAAGGGTTGCTCCCATGACAGAAAATCATTTGTTACAGTTTTTACTGTCCCACTTTTGCCTAACCAGAATTAAAATTCATGTGATTTCCTTTCATAGTTAACTAAAATGCTTTGGGGAAAAAAGAAGGTCTCCAATTGCCCAACCTCAAAATAAGTACAAATTCCTGTCGTAAGGTTCTAAGGCAATATATTTGTATGGAAATAAGAGCAAAATTTCCTATGTAGATGGAAATATGCATTTAACATTTCCAAACAGTTTCAACCACTTTAAATTGAGCAAAATTGTTTTCAGTTGTATTATTGGGAAAAATAAAAAAATCACCAAATCAAGCTTAAAGGAGAGAAAGTTGCATATGGGAACCACTTATTCTGGCTCTGGGAATTTCTGCAAAATTGCAAGAAAGAATTGTCTTCATATGGCGATAAATAAACTTTAAAAAATAGTCAGATTGGTCAAGATCACTGTTAACGGTGTTCAGTGTCCATAATTCAGTCAATCCTGTTTAACCCTGGATGAACTCATACATATGTTAGCTATCTAACAGCATATGTTATATCTTAGATGGTGAGGGTTCAAAGAAGGGTAAAAGAAATGCTATAGTGTCTTGAGAGTACCAACCACACAGAGAGAGTAAAAATAGTTGATTTGTTTAGTCTAAACTGAACAAACAAAAATCAGGGATTCAGGGGAGTCTGCTTATGTGCTTTGAAATACAGGATGGGGAAAAATTGTTCTTAATGGACGCAGATGATACAATTAGGAAGAAAATATGGGTTCGGATCGAAAGGACGCATTTAGCTTGGATATCAGGGCAAGCCTAATCGGAGGGTCAGGCAGGCAGTGGGATGTTTACTTAAGGGAAGTAGTTAAACCGTAAATTCAAGATTTGCTGCAGGCGAAGCTAGGTTAGGTTTACATGGGAAGATCAGCATCGCTCAGCTACAGCACTGAAGCAGATGATTGGACTTGATCAGAAATGCTCGTGTTTTGTGTCACTGTGGGTCACACTGAAACCAGAGAGCTGACCCAATTTATGTTTTGCTCAAAAATAAATGCACATACCTGTAATACCTTATTTGCCTGAATTTCTCTCCCTCTGGAGATGCTGTGGCTTGTTGGACTTCAGCAATAGAAGAGGCTCGCCAGAGGTGAGCTTTCCCTCCCCTTGCCCTGCAGCTACCAGTGGAGGAGAGCGAGGGGCTACTTCGCAACTTTTATACCATTCAGTACAAGAAGTTTTCCATTTCTCCCCATTTCCTGCTACCACAATCCTCTTATCTTTTAAATTTTGTAGATATTTTCTGTGAAAAAAATCTCAGTGCCTAAAAAAGCAATGAGAAATATTAGCAAGGGGCCTAGTAACAATCACAAATGCCATCTGCTTTGCAGGGTAAATGCACTTACCGGTCTGTAAATGTGTTTTTCAGCTCCACAGTGTGCAGCGAAGTAGCAGTTAGCTGAGCTAGGGCTCCTCAGTCTTTATTGTTCGTAGGTGCCAGGACCTCCCCAGAGAAAATAAAACAGTGGATTACTGTGTAAAGTGGCAGCAGGAAATATTTTATTTTGATTTATAAACAGAATAAATCTTTAATGAAAGTTGCTTAGAAGAAATGTGTCTGTGACTGCTGAATGACTCCATGTAATCTTGCTCAGAGGTATGTTGGTCAGAAACATTTCTGTAAAGCTGTTTAATTTGCTGGAAAATGCTAGCAGGTCATACCTGAAGTGATATCCAAGCCACCTCAGCTTTGGCTTTATTGGAGCTTGTGGTTGGCCACAGGTACGCTTTTCTTGGAGGATGTGCTACTTGTGGTTAGCCCATCATTTATAGTACTCGAGGTCTGGAGAAACCAGGAATCTTCCAAGGCCATGTGGCTGTGGGGCAGTCTCCTCACTTAGACTGAAACCAGAATTTCAAAGAGAAAAATCTTGCATTTCTGCCACTTTCTGTAGAGCAAAGACAGTGTCTCTGCACTGCTGACAGTAGCATGAGGTAGTTTGTACTGTTGGCAGGAGGAAGCAGGGAGGACTCCGGAGGCCCAGAAGGACAGCGATAACAACATTCAGAGCTTTTTTTCCTTTTTCACGTTCTTTTTCCTCACGTTTATAGCAGGAGGATGGCCCATATGGCACTTTCTGATTCTGTCTTTCTAAAAGATCCAAGCACTTTGGAAAGTGTAATTAGAGGAGCATGTTTTATGCAGTTGTGTTTGTGGCGCTGACTGGCTGGTTTCAGCATGAGCAACAACAAAGAAGTGCCCTCATTTCAGTCACCGTTGGCTTTGCAAGAAAACAAGTGTTTTTTGGAAGGTCACAGCAAGGAAAAGATAGGAACTCAGAAACAGATTTCCATCCATCCCCTTTATTCACATATGTACATCTATATTTCAAGCGCCAAGAGAAGTCCTAATAAAGTGCAACACTTCCCTTTTCAGTCCAGCAAGAAAACCGGGGGGGGGGGTTGAAGGTGTCCAGGAGAGATTTAGTCTCCCTGACTTGGACTCCTACCTTATACCTGCATTTTAGGCACTTAATGAAGTGGTGTTATTGACTTGAGTCCATAAATTCCCCTTCTAGCTGGTGAAGTGGGTGGGTGGCTATGAAGGTCTCCAGAGAGTTAGGCAGAGAGTGGACTTCTCTTGGGAGGCCTCCTGTTGTGCCTGCACCATCCCATTGATGTCTGCAGTTTAGATGAAAGAGTCTTTTTTGTTCGTGCTGAAGCACAAGTTCATCACGTGAGTTAGGTAGATTGGATCCCACATCTGCTTCGTATGTTACCACGCTTGTTTGGTTAAAATAATTATAATCTTTTATGAGTTTTTAAATGAAGAACAGTACTGCAAGAAGGGGGTGTATGCTTTTGATGATAACATTTTGAGGTTGTTACCTGTATACCGTATAGGAGAGGGAATTTGCAGAAGCAGAAGTGATTTTCCGTGTTTTGGGGTTTTTTCCTTGTAAAGGCAGATGTGCAAAATTTGGAGCATTATACATAAATCAGAATTTCAGGAAGTGTGAATTTACAAAAGGTCCTCTTCAGTACTTGTTTAAGCTGGAAGTCTGAGGAGTCTTCTCCCTGAGGGTATGAAACTGCTATATGTATTGGAAATAATAATAGTCTGTGATAGTTTGTGCGTACTGTACTTTTCAGAAGGAGAAGAAAGTTTCATAAGTGGGCTGAACGAGGCAGTGGGAGCAAATGAACTAGAGACTGAAATCTAGGGCCTCGCATCTAGGAGGTGTAAGTCCGCATGATCCCCTTGTCTTTGGCAATATGCCTGCAAAACCAAAAGGACTTTCCCCATAGAGAAGTGAAGGATGGCCTTATATGAGAACTTTATGTCAAAAGAAAGTTCTGGGATAGGTTGTGTCCCAGAAGGTGACACAACCTGAACTGGGGGACATGGGATGGAGACCTGCTGCTGGGAAACCAGTCAAACCCAAGACGTTGAATTTTGCATCCACTTCAGTTTTGATGCTCAGTCAATGGCAGGATTGTTGTGGGACTGAGAAGGGTAACAAGGAAGGAATAGTTTCCACGGTTGAACCTGGGTTTTTTTGATAACATTGGTATCCTGTCGTCTCTGCATAGTAAC